TGTCCACCTCGTGTCCACCTGGTGTCCACCTCGTGTCCACCTCGTGTCCACCTGGTGTCCACCTCGTGTCCACCTCGTGTCCCCTACGTGCCTACTGCGTGTCCACTGCTTGCGCGCCGCGTGTCCACTGTCTACTGCTTGCTCGCTGCTTCTCCGCAAGGGGCTGTCGAATGAGGAAGGTCGCCTCCCGTCGAGGAGGATATAGCGTGTTTCCGGGGCCGCCGGCGCCGCGGTGGAGTGCCCGGAGGTGCCCGGAAACGCCCCGGGGGGGGGGCGGCTGCCCATAGCCAGGCCGGGGGTTGATGCCTGACGGTCGCTTCCGGGTAGCGGAAGTAGCGTCCTCTGAGTCTCCGGCACGGCCGTGATGGCACGCCCGACATGCACTCGTGCGTCACGCTCGTGTCCAACGGCGACCCCCGCACCCGGTTCCCCAACATCGTGCGGCCGTACCAGCCCGTCCCGAGGCCGCCCGGGAGGCGCACCTCCTTGGGGGCGTCCTTCTTCGGCGTGAGCAGAGGTATACGCGCCCGAGTGGTACTCACTATATCAATTCAAGCATATGTCAATATGTTTTTTGTTTCTTTTTAATCTTGAATTTTTCTTTGTTTTTATTTTTCTGATTTTTTTTCCTGTTTCTTTTGGATGGTGTAGACTGATTTTGTTTGTTTTGAGTGGAGTATCAGCATGCCGGCCTCGTTTGTTGCAGGAGCAGAGTGCGGCGGCAGCACCCCGTACGAGCGGCTCACCCTCCAGCTGCACCATGACCGGCGCTGGCGGCAGGAGGTCTCCCTGGGCAAGCGGGTCGGGCTGTACCGCATGCGCGGCGACCTGGGCGCGGGCAACTTCAGCAACGTCAAGATGGCCGTGCACCAGCTCACCTCGGGTAAGCAGGCAACAGCCAAGGCTACAGCCTGCCGACTGATTCCGAAGAGCGCTCTCCTATACCTTCCGTATAGCTCCGTCCTTGTCGCACTCGTGGGGCAGCACCCCTCGAGTCTGCTGTGCCTCCGGGCGCCGGGCGGGTAGGCCGCGCGGGCGGCGCGCGACACAGCTGCGCCGCGGGTCTGCCTGTGTGCGGATCCACAGGCGCTCTCCGCCCGGACGGGACGCGCACGGCGAGAGCCTGCGTCGCGAAAAGCGGGCGCTAGTGCGCGTGGGACAACTCTGGGAACGCAAGTGTGAACATGTATGCGTCACACTTTCATTTCCTTACGGACTAGCTTACGGATAATTTTGTGCAAGCGTAATATGGATCAAATTTACCTGAAATACGGATGAAATGGTCCGTAATATGGATGATTTCATCCGTATTATCAACAATGCTAGGTTCGTCACTTATGGAGAAATGAATATTTTTTCTCCGTAAATTACGAACCAAGCTGTGTTGATAATATGGATAAAATTGTCCATATTACGGTTGTTTTCATCCGTATTACAGATAAAATGTGATCCACATTACGGTTGCACAAAATTATCCGTAAGCGAGTCCGTAAGGAAATGAGAGTGCATCTCCTGGATACCTGCACGCATGTATAACAGTGTGACTGGGTGTGTGCGGCGTGAGTCAGCCACCCGGCATGCAGAAAAGTTGCATGTTTGTTGCTGTTTTTATTATTTTTCTCGAATTGTGCTCAGTGTCTGCAAATTGCGGTCATTCGTTTATCGGATCCAGTATATTGAGCTGCTTCATAGGTGCGCTGTTATCGAAACACCGATCCGCGTCGTTGCAGCCTGGCTGCTACCCATACCTCGCCCCGCCCCTCCTCGCCCCGTCGGTGCAGCAATACCTGTGCAGTAGTGGGGGAAGCCGTACCGTGGCGTCGGTCCGTCGGTCCTCCTGTCCCTGGCCTGCTGCTGTGCCTATGGTCCGCCTGGCATCACACTGCCAGGGACAACGTGTCCGTGCCCCCCCGTACTTTTCCCATTTTCCTTTTGCTGGCGGCAGCCGTCGACCATCTAGAAAGGGCAGAAGAAAGAGAAAGCTGTCTGAACGCCCGCGAGGCTCTCCTTGGCTGCCTTGGCCTTGGGGGTCGTCCGTTGTGTTTGACGTGAGTGTGGCGGACTCGAAGTGGCGCGCAATAGCTGACACACACAGAAAACCATATCTTTCGAACAACGAAATTTTGACGTTGCCGAAACCAGTAAAATTTTAGTTGTAACAAATAAAAAGTTTTGTTTACACAACAACTTTTTTTTGTTCAATTTGACAAACATCGTTTTTAGTTTCACAAAAAAAGTCGTTGGACTGAATAAACATTTTCGTCATCCTAACGAAAAATGTTTCTTTTGATTGCTGCCATAGAATTTTTCGTTAACGTAAACAAACAATTCTCCTCCCCTAAACAACTGCTTTTCTGGGTGCAGGCGTACTGCTCGCCTCGCCGCCCCTTGGCTCTCCCTCCCCGCTCTCTTGCCTCCTCGTAGCTCTCACTGCTCTCCCGGCTCCCCCCGCGCCCCGCCCCGCGCTCGCCCACAGGCGCGTGTGTAGGCCCGACCATCAGCCGTGCCGGCCGTGCCGTGATGGATCGAACTGTGTCATATGGTATTGGTTCTGGCCGCCTTTTTATCCCCCCCCCCTTATTCTTCTTCTTTTCCTCCTTATTCTTCTTCTTCCCCTTATTCTTCTTCTTTTCCCCCTTATTCTTCTTCTTTTCCCCCTTATTCTTCTTCTTCCTCTTTCTCTTCTTCCTCTTCACGCCACTTTTTCATGAGTGTACGAGGGAAACAACACGTTTGCCCCCCAGGTGCCGTCCCACCCGCCCCACCTTACTCCCTGCCGGGTGTCACTCTTAATTTTTCTCCGCGAGCTAAACGAGCCGACAAGGGGGAGGGGGGGGGGCGGTGTCTCAGGGGCCGCCCGGCACCGCGGCACCTAGCTACCCCCTGGCCCCGTCCGGCCCGGCGCGCATACGCACAACGGGGGGGCGCCGTGGTGGGGCGAAAGGGTTCTCGGGAGCGTGGGGGCGCTCGGTGCGCGATGGAGCGGGTGGGGTGAGTGGGGCGGGGTGGCGGGGAAGGTTGGCGTGGCACTAAACGCGCCCGGTTACGGACGGCCCCGAGCCCCCGTCCAGGTCCCCAAGGCCCCCGTGCAACGGCCACGGCCAAGGCGACAGCTCGGGGCGAGGCGGGGTGTGCCCGCTCAAGTGGTCGGCACCGCAGTGCACGCCGCGCTACCACTGCGAGAGGGAGGTCGGAGTGCCGTGTGTGTTGTGGTGGACCGTCACGCGTCCGCTGAGACCACCGCTTGTCCACCTCGTGTCCACCTGGTGTCCACCTCGTGTCCACCTCGTGTCCACCTGGTGTCCACCTCGTGTCCACCTCGTGTCC